ACACACATGCTAATGGCTCCCAGGGGAGGCTGCTCCAGAGCAAAGGAAGTGAAGGAACCCAGTGAACTGGCAGCTTAGCAGCAGTTCTTTGTTCTAGAGTCTCTAGAAGAGGGTTTTGTCTTGTTGACAACCATCTGAAGTGGTTTCAGGTGAGGGTGACTTTTTCCATCCAATAGGGACAGCAAATTCCATGCAGCTCTGAAAGGCACTTCAGGTAGAACAGTAATTAACTCCTGCCTGATGAATTGAACCACAATGAGCCTGCTGGCCTTGCTGCCCATGCTGCCTTTTCAGTTAAGGCAATTTTAGTGGATAACCAGCTTCCCTGCACCACTTTCCCCACTCAACTTTATTAGGCTAGGTATAAGGTCCAGCTGAAAACCCAGAAGGTTCAACAGCTTCCACCTCCCCAGCAGAAGGGGAAGAGGGTTACCCCACACTGAGGGGACAGCCTACACCCTGGGTTGTGCCTTTCACTGGGTTTCATATGCTGTCGAGGTGTCAGCATGCAACTTTTGAAACTACTTGAACTCTACAAGTTCAATCTCTTGCTGAACAGATGAACACAGGCAGACAAATTCACATAGACAGTGTCCTCACAAGCTGCTACACCACTGTGTCTTTTGAGAGATACAACCATTTCTATTTTGGGTACAGGTCATGTAAAAGAAATTGTTTGATGTAAAGGCTACCTTGCACAATTCCTCAAAAAACAGCCCATCCAGCCACTCAGCTAAGTCATAATCAAAGCCATCAGTTATCACAAAAAGCACCTTCATATCAGTAACTGCTCACCCCTGTGAAACTCAGTCTGAGTTTGAAATGTATCAGGACTAAATTTTATCATGTAGCTGATTCTGCTGACGCTGGTGATCCACTGTTTTCAAAGAATCAAGTATTGTTCCCATCAGTATTTTACATTAGTGTAACGGATTTATCCACATCATTGCTCTCCCACCACCCCCATTCCCCCCCCAAAAAAAACCCCCACAACTGCACAAATAAGGAAAAAAAAAAAAACAAACAACTAACAGCCATACTGCGAAACAAAAATACAATTAAAAAACAAATGGATGACAGTCCAACAGTTTGCAGGATTCAAAACTGACTCTACAAAGTTGTTGTCTACATTGTAGAAAGGATTTCCATTTATTTGGGGAAACGAGCAATTGTAAATCAGGTATTGAAGAGAAGAGATATAAACAATCTTTAGAAGGTCTTAAGTTTTGCCTACTGTCGAAGGATTAAAACTGTAAATAAAAAGGTACCAAGCCCTCAGAGTTCACCATTCATGTGAAGCTTCTTCCATCTCTTGACCTTTTTCAAAACCATATTCATTTCTAGGAAAGGAAGGGAGAAGAAAATACAAAGTTATTTAGGAGAAAAACCAAGCAAGGGGTATTCCTTTGATGTATTCGCAGCCCATTAGCTGAAGTATCAGACAAAACTTATTAGCTAATTGCTTATATATAAAGAGATTCAGTTGTCTGACTGTAAGGATCAAATTATAACAGATATTTAGAATATAGCAAAGAGAATCTGCAGATTTCTCTCCCAAGCAATAGCAAGGTTTTAATTTGTTCTAGTATAACAGCAGGACTACACCAAGAGCACACAGGCACAGCAGGGACTTTGCTCATCACATCTTCTACAAGGCTGAGCACAAGATTAAGTGTTCTTTGAATTTATTTAGATGGACACAAATCCTTATCATCGACCAGAAGCAAAGAAATGGAAAGTTCAGACTGTAGTTGCTACTCATCTTTTGCTAGCATGCAGAATTTCAGGCTCCTGAATAATCAAAGACTTCCAGCTTATGTCATGGGTGAGTCAGGACAGGAGAACAAAAGCCAAACTACCAAGCTAATATTCCATGTTATTTTGAAAGGGTAGACATAGGTCAAACTCAATCAAAATTAGCCTCTGGAATTAAATGCCATCAAAGGGGGCAGATTTCATGTGTTGTGGGCATTACAAAGCCCTTCCCACAGTTCCTCTCACAGTTCAGATTCGTGTGCCTCTTCTCCAGACGCTCGCTGCTGAACACACGTACCTGCCTTGGCATGGAAGGCTCTGTACAGCTCCTCATCTGAAACTCTTCTGCTGTTGCATCAGCCCCACATTTTCATATACTCTAGCACTATCTTCTCTCATCCTGAAAGGAAACAGAATATTTGCAGTCTGAAGAATTTAGTCATATCTGTACGCACAAGGTAATTCAGTGACGATTCAATTTGCTCAGTTTATTTTAAGAGCCAAGCACAGGACAACACTTCAGGGTAGATTCTGTGATAACTCACTCTCAGTTGGGGGCCCTGAGGATTAGTTAGTACAGTTCAAAGCTTGCAGACTAACAACAGGAGGGAACTTACTCTGGACACGTTGGGGTTGGGGTACAGGGTGGAAGAGGACTCTGATCCCCACTCGTCTGGTCCGATAGGGAATATTTAATGTTTGTGTATTCATGACCTTTCCTCTTGCTCTTCTGTGAAGGAAAACACAAGAAAAAGCCAGGTTTTGAATTACTAACCAAAACAATCACTGAAGGAGTGTAGAACTGACACGTGGAACCAACCACGTATGGTTTTTTAGAAGAAAGGTTTGCATGTGAGGAGCTGAGAGATCAGTTCAGTGGAGAGCACACACAACACAGCTAAGACTTCACAGTTGGCTTCAGCTACTGGTTCCAAGACCTCAGTTTTCAATATTCCTCCTTCTCCAGCAGAATACACCAACCTTATGAACCAGGACTCATACACAACCTTCAGCTTACTTGGCAGAAGCAAGCACACTTCATTCTTTAACAGAGAGTACCAGCCCATGGGCTTCCCACTGACCTTATTTCTAGCTTGGAGATGTGGCCAAATCAGTAACAACGTCGTTTGTAAGACCTCTAATAAAATAACATCTTAGCCCATTAGGTTTGATATAAAAAGAACCCAAGCTGTTTATTTGTATTCTGCAGCATATGTTACAGGCTGCAGCCAATTGTGCTGGCATTCCTCTGAAGATACTGAAAGCTCCAGCAAGGAAAGCTCCACTAGGAAAGAAGGGATAGGGTTTTATTCCTTCTCCAGACAAACATTCAGAATATATGCATACAATGAAGCCCACATATAAACCAAAGTTCCACTTTAAAGTTCTACAGGACGCTGGGTTTTGGGTTTATTTTTTGGTGGGTTGTTTTTGATGGGTTCTGTTGAAATGCTCAAAGAAGTACTAAATAACTGGCCTGCATCAATCTCACCACAGAGGCTGTCAGAGCCTGGGGGGAGTTCTGGCTGCTGAGTTTCCATTTAGAACACTCTGTAGAGCAATGTAGGTTGAAGTTTTTCCAAGACAGCCTTCTGAGACTTGCTCAAAACTTGCTCAACTTGTTCTGTCATTTTACTGAACTTCTCCCCTCTCAACCTCCTACTTAGTCCTGACAAATCATCTTCAAATAAACTGCCAGTCCAGATCAATTAATGCTGAAAAAAGCTTTAAACAAATGGCAGAGGTTCAAACTGTGCTGCATTCTACAGTGCTGTTGGCTACAAACCCCTCACCTGCCAATAATATTATGAAGCCCAAAACTAGGACTTGATTTCCCACCCACCCTCAGCTGCATGATGAATGGCAGTTCAAGTTACAGAAGTACTGTACAGTAAAAGCAATTTAAAAAGAATCTGTCAGTTCTCCTATTACTTAAGCTGACTGAAACCCATAAAACAAGCCAAGATAAAGTAGATACCTGGCTTCTCTTCCTTCTGCTTAATTCACTGTAATTATCCTTTCTAATTCAGAATAATAGAAATGTGGTAAGAACTACTTGTTTCCTAGGTGTAAGAGTATATACACACTTCCACAGGGGGGAAAAAAGAAGAAAATGAAAACAAATTCACTTTGCTCTTCTTCTGCACTTGCAAGAAGAGAGGCAATATTTAATACAGCAGTTAAGTCTAGGAAATGGTGATGCTCTTGGCATTACAATGCAAGAGGGGATGCTGGAGGAGCAGGGGAATTCTTTCCTCAACACAAACAAAAAGCAGGTCTGAAATTGAAGCATTCTGCATAGTGATCTAGTACTCAATATATTTTTTTTAACTCTATGAAAACACACCAGGGGAAGTTTAGGTTGTTTAGGTTGGATATTAAGAAAAATTTCTTCCCTGAAGGTCTTGTCAAGGCCCAGGCTGCCCAGGGCAGTGGTGGAGTCCCCATCCCTGGAGGGGTTTCCAGGCTGTGGAGATGTGATGCTGAGGGACAGGGGTTAGTGGGAACCTGGCAGTCCTGGGGGAGTGGTTGGACTTGATGATTTTAAAAGGTCTCTTCCAGCCAGAACCATTCTATGATTCAATGCTTTGAAGCATTCCCAATTCACCACCTATTTTTCAGGACATTAGTTCCTATATTCACCACAAAGCTTTGCTTTTGTCTGAGAAGTTCTATACTGCTTTACTCCTACAGCTGCTACTAGCCCTAGTTATAGGTCACACCCTCCTGAAGTAAAGCAATGTTCTATTTCCAGTTTCTTGAACTTTCATACCTGTCCTTTCTGAGCTAGTAACAGAAGAGAGGATGAAACACAAGTAACTGAGCCTCATGACTGTAGGAGAAATACACTGCTCCACTCAATATCAAAATACTATTCAAAGTACTACAACAATCAAGAGAGCTACAGATCTACCTTGCAAATGGCAGGAGCAGAAGGAGATGGTATTCAAAAAGCTGAGGGTACACAGCCTGCATAATTACAGAGAGAGATGAGGCAGCTCTAAGGTGAAGTGAGACAACAAAGCCAGGGAAAAAAGTACACCTGAGGGATTTACTGTTCTTCACTTCGTGTCTAACACCATCAGAGCACTCAACAGCTGTCCTGGGGAGAGGAAAGGAGTCTCTATGCTCTCTGCTGAGCAGCACATCTGCATCACATAGGCAAACACAAAATGAGCTCTGCCACCCTCCATAGCAGCCACACAAGTGCCAAGCCCAAGCTGGCACACGCCACCTCGACCCAGGGATTAACAGACCTCCCCACATCTGCCTCATCTCTCCTGTGGGTTTCTCTCCTTCTGAGCAGCAAACCAGCTGCAGAAGGAGAGAGACTGAAATTCTGAAACAAAAAGATAAAAATCCCAGCTGACCAGAGGTTAAGGCAGAGCAGAATGTCAGTTCATCATTACAAAGTGAGTAACCTCTGTGAAAGGCTGTAGAATTCAATTGCAATTAAGTATTTCAACAGCAAGAGTGAGCTGAAGGTCTTGTCACCATGTACTTCAAAGCCTTTCTCATCTTACCACACCAAGTCACTCCTCTGGCTGCTTTTTGTTGGACACTGTACTGCAAGATCATCACACTCATTCTTGAACCTCTCAGTCTAATGTATTTACCTTTTACTATAAACATGTACTTTAAGACTCCAAAATCAGTATTAAGAGTGCCTAGCATTTGATTATCAGACTTTAGAAATACAGTCAACAGATTTCAAATCTGTTTAAAACTCAACAGAGCACAAGGTTCTGTACTAATTAACAGCACAAGGTTCTGTACTAATTAACAGAGCCTTATCTTTTATTCTTCTTGCACAGAAAACTAGATATTAAGGGAATTTGAGGTCTGGGGTGCAGGGACAGGGAGGACAGGATCTCATACATGCAAGCATCTTTGTGGATAAACCAGCACTAGCTGCAGTCATATGGAGAAGCCTTTCAGAGTCATGATTTTCACCACTGGCAGAGGGAGAATCACAGTTTTTATTTTACAGTTTTCTAATCCCACCTAATAGTTTAATTCTTAAGCATAACAAATTGAAATAGAGGCCAACTTCTCTGAGCAGGGTTAACAGATGACAGACCCACAAGGCCTCAGCTATACAGCCAGCAGTCACGCCTTCAAAAGTGGCAGGCAGCAGAGGAGTGACTCTGCTCCCTGCTCCAAAGATGAGATACTTGCAGGGAATGTTCTGTGCTCAGCACAGTACCTGCTCCTCCTCGATCCTGCGCTGCAGCGTCTCGATGTAGTGCTGCACTGCCATGTAGATGAACCTGTACTGGGCCTCTGTCTGCACCATCCCCGAGCGCTGCGACCTCACCATCTGAATGGTTTTGGGGACATCAATGTCACAGTCCACGCCTAGGAAGAATCATCATCAGGTTACAAAGGGTAAAATAAAGTTTGCTGAGGAGGAGAGATCGGCCTCGTCTTCCAGCAGAAGACAGCAGAGCAGAAGGATCTTGCAATAAGCAAGACAACCAACATTCATCACTCAGTCCCTGAGTACTGATAATCAGATCTGTAGAACCACAGTGTAACACAGGGAGAAAATTGCATCACTTTACACTGTGCTGAGATGATTTTAAATGAAATTTAGTTCAACACACACACACACCCTGAGTTAGTTTATGGCATTTTATACACAAATATAACATCATTCTGCAAAAATAAGTGACTCAAATTCAACACGCAGCGTGGGATGAGTACAGCATGCTCCTCACTGACTTTAAAAGAAAACAGAAAAACAAGTAATACCAATAACAATAAGAAAAAGATAATCAGACTCCTGGCTAATGCTCAGCCAGAAGTTTTCACTGTGCTGAACTGGAGCAGGGTTTCAGCACTTTGATTCCAGAATGAGCAAGTCTCTTATGCCAGACACACACGCCTAGTTTGTAGCACCACTAGAATCCTCCACTTTATCAACACTCCTGTTGTTCTACTGTGATGTCCTCTGTCAGCATCCCACAGGAAAATAGAAGCAGTGGGGGAGAACCTACCTTTTTCTCTGATTATGTCAATAAGGATATCAATCACAATGAAAGTTCCTGTGCGCCCAATCCCAGCACTGTAAACAGAGAGAGGAAAAGTTCATTTTGTTCTTTCTGAACAGAAATTGAGTCCAAATAAGAGTCTTATGTTAAGAGACAGACTGCCAAATTATAGCCCCACAGCCAAAAGTTACTAGAGGCCTAATCAACTTAGCACAGAAAAGGTATAAGTCATAAGAGCACTTCTGTACCTCAGCATTTATTAATATCCTTGAATCAGAAAAAAATCTACAAGGTCAGATCTAATATTTCCTTGCCTTATAAAAAGTATTTTGTTTATAAGACAAGGAGGAGAGAACACTCAGAGGAGGTAGGAAGGGATACTAGAACTTCCAGGATCCTGCACCTGAAGTGTATCTAGCCAAGATTGGTATCATGTTTTTCTACATCAGAAATTGGTATTCATACAGACACACACAGTCTGAAAGTAGCCTACTTCAAAAGCAGCTGTTTGACACCTATCTAAAATATATCATTTTGCAAAAGAGAAAGCATAAACACTTTGGCAGATGAAAGTCTGAGTAGCTCTCAGGGAAAGTTGCCTTTAAGTTCTCAGTTCCACCCATCAAATAAAAG